CATGGAGCTTTAAATTCAAGTGTAAGGTCTTTATTTTAAAGTTTACTTATTTCTTTTGAGAGAGAGAATAAAAGAGAAAGAGATTAGCATCCTCGATAGGGTCTTCAAACTGTGGTCCATTCCCAGTCTCAGCCAGCCCCGATCACAGCCATGTGTGTGTGCCTAGTGTGTTCAGGGATGGTCCAGGATGCAAACTGAGGACCTTTCTCATGTGGATTTAGTTGTGTTACTGCCATACCCCTGTCAGGCACTCAAGTGTGAGGCTTTGCTGGACATGAGAACCCAGTGTACCCACGCTGGTCACTTACTGGGGAGCCGGCCTGGGCTGCGGAGAACTGAAGAACTGCAATAAATATTCCTGAGCTCAAGGTGCTTACTAGGGAGAAGATGGCATACAATAAGCTAATAAATCTTTCGGAACAGTTTTCAAGTCAGCATATAATGTTTATAAAGTAGTATGTGGTGAGTGCTATCTCTAGGCTTTCTGCAAATAGTAACTTCGTAAATGAACGACTAGATTTCCTCACTTTTTTTCCTCCTCTCTCCAATCCCCAGTATTCAATTTAGCAGGGATGCATGGCCAGGGCTACGATGAGGGACTGACATCCTGGAATCTTCTGTGTGCAAGGTTTTCACGAGCAGAAGGCACATGAGAAAGCACGGGAGGAAGATCAGAATGAGCCTGCTGTGAAATCCAAAGGATTGAAGGAAATTGATTTGCTTGAACTGAAAAAGTGGGTCAGAAATTGAGAAGAAGGAGTGGGCCAGGATGCGAGTGTGGATGAATTGGCAAAGGTCAAGCCCAAGTGCCTGACCACCTGGCATTGGAATAGGAACTGGGATTGGAATGACAGAGGACTTCAGAGAGAACTCCCATTCCAAAGGGGGAAATGAGTTCTTGGAGGAAGCAGAGGAAAAAGCTCCAGCCCTCCAAGTGGGTGGATCAGGGCTGTACAAGCCATTAAACACCTACCCTGTCGCTCTGGCACCCAGCACTGAGGGAGTGAGCCTGGCGGAACACAGATGGGGCTCTTGCTGCCCCTCTCCCCTGTGTGTCCAGAAGCATTTATGAAATGAGGGCAGGGTCGCAGAAGATTCATAATGACTTTTTCTTTTCTAAACAAGGAGATATTTGGTAACTTTGTTCAAGTTCCTCAGCCAGGCAGGGGGCTTGTGACCCATAGCAGGTGACAGCAGAGGAGAGCTGGAGCAACCTTTGGAACCAGTAGTCAGTTCTTCAGTCACTAGTTTTTATTATTATTATTATTATTATTGTTTTAAACTTCATTTATTTATTTAAATTTGACCAGAGAGGGAGAGAGAGAGAGAGGGAAAGTGAGAAAGAAAGCCACGAGGTCTGGGTCTCGAACCACATATGGCCATGTGGGAGTCCAGTGCCCTTAACCAACATGCCACCTGCCAGCCTAGTCACTAGTTTTTTTAAAGAGATTTTTACTATAGGGCGTGTGCACTCGCTGGAGAGACAGAGACCGAAAGTGAAAAATCATCGCTGGGGTAGTAAGGGGAGAGGGATGGCCATGCTGCAGTCCCTTCTTTTCCATTCTCCTCTTGGGATTTTGGGCTCACACGCATACCTCCTCAGCGTAAATTTTAAGCTGCTGGTCTGGGACTCGAACAGCAGTCAACTATATAGGAGTCCAGCGATGTAACCGTTATGCCACCTGCTGGTCCCCAGTCACCAGTTTTTAATGTGCTCTTGCGTGCTGGAAATGGGTATGGGGAAGACTGCTGGCTACGCCTGGTTCCTCCTGCCTGGTCTCTTCACTGTGCTTACAAGACCAACAGTAGGGCTGCTCAGCAGTCCTTTGATCTCGTGCATTAGCTGCTTCTGCTTATAAAGCAAGAACCCAAAAATGCAGATTTGCGTTATCAGGCAGTTGAAATATAAACAGCCTAAATGGTTATAAGAGCCGAAGTGGAGGAGGGCTGTTTGCCAGTGTATAGGGAGCAGAGCTGAACAACCATACTTAACTATCAAGCTACTCCTGTAAATATTTGCAAATGCCCCTTCAAGCTCAAAAGCCTAGGACAGGATCATTGGATGATTTGCTTAGAAGAAGAGGAAACAAAGCTGACCTCATGGTCTGAGGCAGCCATAAAAAGAAAGAGTGGGTATGGGCAGGACACCAGAAAGGAAAAAGAAAATTGTTCAACGTTTAATAAACACAAGAGAGAATAAAAATAAATCTCAAGAGCACTTATTTACAAACTTGATGGAAGGATAAGATTGAGGCGGGTGGGTGTGAAAGATGGGTGTTTGTGGAAGTAGAACAGGCCTGGGGATTCCTCTGAAAGAGGAGAAAGATGAATGATATGTTTACCCTTCTTAACAACAGGAAACACACAAAATGAGCTTGCTCTTCTAGGATGCTCTTTCAAAGGATGTTTGAAGCTTCTGCAGTCTAATGTGGAGGCCGTGTGGAGATAAATAAAGCCTCTTGGCCCATGTGGAAGGGTCTGGCCAAGAGGGCTCCCAAAGCCAGAGTGCCTGGCCCCAGCCTTGCCTTGGTTTCTCTGTCTGGACATTCCTTCTGTTTTCAGCTAAATCGGCTAAGATAGTATCAGCCTTTCCAATAACTGGGGTAGGCATATTTTAGAAAAAAAGATCTATTTCTTCTCAGCAGCTGCCTTTTCAAACTGCTATGTTAGGGGGCTCCAAAAACCTTCATTTGTATTGACGTTTGCCAGTGGTAAACTGCCTACCAACTATTTTGCAGTGCTGATGCAGAGGGTCATCACCGTGTTTGCTTGAATACTTTCTTTTCTCTGAAACCTGCATGTTTTGGATTTTTGGGTTTTTTTTGTTTGTTTGTTTGTTTCTGGAATTTCTGGTTCACAGGCTACAAAGCCTCAATTCACACAGTCATTTTATGAACCAGCATTGAGTAGAGCATGGCTGGAATTCACTGCCTCTTCAGAAGCCTGCTTCTGAGAGCTGCAAGTACCTGGGGGAAGGGATGAGAGAAAGCCTCTGTAAGGGAAAAATGTAGGGCTCTTAAGACGAGGACATATTGCTGTGCGCCTAGCATTTTATTTTTTCCAGTGTAATCATCATAGCATGGATTTCCCAAGAAATCACTAAAGGTATTTATTTCTATTTTAAGATCGGAAAGATGGCTCATTTATTTCGTAAGGAGTTAGTATTGCCAACAGTCAAATGCATGAGTCTTTCAAGACTCCCGTTGATGACCAGTTCTGCAAACAGTGGATATTTGAACTCTGTATATGTAAAGTTCTGTCCAAAAATGTGGGGAAAAAGGAAAAACTTGACAAACACAGTCTCTGTCCTCAAGATTCTCAAAATCTCATGGGGGAAAATGAACAAACATAATGCAGGAGTAATAAAAACATTTGTAAAGAAACACAAACAGGGGGACCAGCAGTTAATGTAATGGCTATGTCGCTGACTCCCATGTAGTCAACCGTGGTTCGAGTCCCAGACCTGGTGGCTTAAACTCACACCGGGCACATGTGCGTGTGTGCCCAAGATCCCGAGAGGAGAATGGAGGAGAAGGGATAGCGGCATGGCCATCCCCCTGGGGCGCTTTCTATCTCTCTGTCTCTCTCTGTCTTTCTGGTGAGTGCACACCCCCTATAGCAAAAACCTCTAGAAAAAATAAAAGAAACAACAACAAGGACCAGCAGTTGGCATAACAGCTATGTTGTTGGACTCCTATGCAGCCGACTGCAGTTCGAGTCCCAGACCTGGTGGCTTAAACTCATGTCAGGCGCATGTGCGTGCATGCCCAAGATCTCAAGAGGAGAATGGAGAAGGGATTGTGGCATGGCCAACCCCCTGGGGGGTGATTTCTCACTTTCTGTCTCTCTGTCTCTGTCTTTCTGGTGAGCACACACACCTATAGAAAAACCTCTCCAAAAAAAGAAAACAAAGAAAAGAAACACAAACAATTGTGAATGATTGTGTTGTAATGAAGCTACATGACTGAAAACAGGGGAAAAAGAAGGAGTCATCAGAGTTGAATGGAAGGGACACTTTGGAATGGGGGAAGCAAGTTTGCATATTTGGGAAGAGTTTTTAGAAACATACCTATAAGTGGCCTGCACTGTGTCGGTGATTAATGAGTAAATGTTGTAGATGAAGTGTGGGAGAGGAATAGGACATGCTTTGGGCCTGGCGTTGCCTCAGCTGCATTTTCAAAGCAATGGCAAATCACTAAAAACTATCAGCAAAACCCTAAGCAACTCAGAAACTTGAAAGTTTTGTTACTAACTGCAGTTCAACATTTTATATGCTTCAGAACTAAAGGACTTTATGCTGTTCTTTCTCTTCATTAGCTAGGATTACTTCCCACCAACAGACTTTCTCCTTAGTAAAGCATTTTAAGACTGTACCTTGTATAGCCAGTGAAGGGGCATTGTTTTATTTATTCAGATTTGGGGACCATTTGACTAAGAGAGTGTATTTGATCATATGTGTGTGGAAAACCCCAAATTGTGAAGCCAAAAAAAGATGCATGCATGAGCCTGGATACAACTAGATGATTTGGATGCCAACTTTTCAAGGAAAAAAAATATGTGTGCAAACTGCTTACCATTAGGAGCTATTTTCTTGGCACAGCTGATTAAATGTATGCAAGCCTGACAACTCTCTCCAGTGTTAACTGTTATGAACTTGTTCCAATTTATAACCATCTAGGATTTCTTTTTTTAACCACTCTATCAGCCTTCAAAGGACAGGGTTAACTGCAGGCCTTCAAATGGAGTTGGAAGTCATTTGTTAATCTCTATTAATCTGCTACTTCTGTAACCAAATACACATGTTTATTTCATTTCATATTTTTTTCTGATTAAATCATTAATGGAATTAAATTGGCCTTTGGAAATGAAATCATTCTGTAGATACTTTCCTTATGGTTTCTTGGACTATCTCATGCTATAGTCTTTTTTTTTTTTTTTTTTTGGGGGGGGGGAGCGCAGTGGATTTTATCATTTTCAATGATTGTCCTAACTTTTTACAGATGCCATCCCACCTACTTTCTACAGACCCTACTTTAGAATTGTCCGATTTGACGTCTCATCGATGGAGAAGAATGCCTCCAATTTGGTCAAAGCAGAGTTTAGGGTCTTTCGTTTGCAGAACCCAAAAGCCCGAGTGCCTGAACAGCGGATCGAACTGTATCAGGTAAATTTTTCTGAGTTGCTTCAATGGATAATCTATTTGCAGTCTTAGGGTTCTATTGTCTTACATATTCTTAGCTGCCGCAAGTCATTCTATGCATTCATGTTCATGACAGAGGCCCTCATGTGTTAGTAGTAGCCCATTCCTAGTCGTTTGGGAGGGAAGAGCCTTTTGGAATTAAGCGTGGAAGATCTGAACACATTTCTTCAGCAGCAGGAACAGCTGGAGCAGCCACACTTCAAGGAATTTAGTCCGGAAGTCAAACTCCTAATCTGAAAAGTCAGATAATGCAGGCCTGATGGCACCCAAGAGCGAGAAGTGTGCTGACCTTTTTCTCTCATCCTGTGCTTTTTTTCTTTTCTTGCCTCTTCCTTCCTATTGTTCTGTCTCTCTTTTTCACTTTTTTCTGCTTCTGTTTTCTGCTTCTTTTCACTGCTGTCAGCCTGCTTTCTTTTCCTCTCCATTTCTCTTCCTTTTCCTTTCCACTCTCTCCACAGAGTATATAGAGAGAGCATGCTTTGTGCACTAGGTTGTGATAACACGCTTCAGAAGTAATGTCTCAGGTGAGACTCATAACTATACTACGTGGTTTGCACTGTAAGATACTCTCTGCTACTGTATTCTTTTCCACTTTATAGAAAATGAGAAATGAAGTCACAGAGAAATTAAGTAACTGGTCAGGATGCCACAGCTGGGAAGTAGCTAGGCTGGAATAGGAATCCCGGCCTGACTCCCAAGTCCCTCCTGCCCCTCACCACGTACATACAGTTCGTGGCAAATCATTCCCTTCTTCTTTCCCTCAGTATCATCCAGAGCACAATAAAAAAAAATAAAAAAATAAAAAAAAAAAAAAAAACTAGGCCAGAGGGTGGAGTGATCTCTGGAGGGGAAGGAAAGACTGGTTTCTATGAAAAGAAGCCTTAGAGACAGCCAGATAAATTGCAGGGTGATTTAAACAAACAAACAAGTAAATAGAGGTGACGATATACTTGAGATCTTCCTTTTATCCTTCTTTTTCAACACAATCACTCTTATATGTCTTTGTGCTGATGACAGTGTTACGGGTCATTCTCTTTGACATGGTCTCAGTTACAGGGCTTCAGCAGACTGAAGGTAGTTTTTTCCTGGGGCTCGTTGCCTGTCGTGTAAGCTGTGACGTCGCTGTTATTCCTTGTCCCCTTGGCCTCGTGCTCTGGGGAGTGACCTTTGCCAGCTACATTGCCGATGACTTCCCTTCTTCCCAGAAGCCATCCTGTCTCCAGGAAAGGATGTGTCTGATCGGTCTGGTAAACCAGAGAACCTTAGTGAGTCTTTGATGCATGTGTTCTTTCTCAGAGGTTTCTGCAGCACTGGTAGCTCCATGCCACAAGTGACAAGATCTGCATTGGATTAGAGTCCCTCTCTTAGGAAAGGTATAGCCCAAAGTGGAATGTTTAGTTTAGAGAGCATGGATGAGTTCACCATCACTGAGCATGGGAATCTGGAAGGAGATGGTCCTAGAGGAAAGGAAAGGGAGAATAGCTACTGCTTATTTATCAGGAGCTTAACTGTGCAGCAATCTCACCTCTGAAACACCGTCAAGATCCAGGAAGTGAGTCAAAGAAATCCCCAAACCCTCTAAGCGTCCTCGAAGTGGGCACACAAGTGATTCATCAGAAGGGCAGCCTTTGCCATTTTTTTCACTTCTGACAACATTGGTTATCTCTAGAACCTCAGGAAGTGAAAAACACTGAACTCAAAGGGCAGGACTAGAGGAGGACACCCTCCAAGCAAGTGAGAGATAAATATATATATATATAGAGAGATAACACCCCTAATAAGGTCTTGATGCCATGATTTACCTCTGGTTTCATTCAGCCCTGGATCATGGGCAGTCATATACCCATAGTACTCACAGAGGTTTTGGGAACCTGGAACCTTCCCATGCAGTTCACAGAGCCTCACAGAGTATCATGTTTTACTGCTTTGCTACCCTCTATCCCAAGATAGGCCTTTATGCTTGAAGTTTTATGCCATCATGATGCTAGCTCATAAAACCATGCCACAGAGGAAGATTGACTCCTCCATGGGAGCTGAGAACTAGTGCTCTCAGGGAATAAGAGAAATGAAGATTTTCTGCTGAGAATTCACCCTCCAGACCTCATCCTCGAGTGGAGAGGCAAAAAAGAGCAGACCTTCAGAAAACTACGCCACAGAAGCCAAACCTTGCTTGGGGACAATTTCCCTCAATCTTAACCGTGTATGGCTAACCCACTCTTTATCTCCTTGGCTCCCTACCTGATTTCTGACTTCTGCCTCGGTCCTCTTTCTTTAGAGCCCTATTTGTGGCTTATGTTCCCCAACTTTCCACTTTACCTCTAGCTGCCATTTGGAGATCTTTATAACCTTTAATAACAAACTCCCCTTTCCAGTTCCAGTACAGAAATGTATGTTAATAGCAATAGCCTTGAGTTATGAAGATGAGGTTGAATAATTAGAGTCAGGAAACTGAACACCTACAATAAATTTAGAGTTTCATATCCCAAACTGCTGAACTACGATTTTGAAAAATAGAAAAGCCAGCTTGGTACTTAAACGGACAGATCTTCAGTGACTGGAAAGCTTAGCTCTTAAGAAGAACAAAGCCTCCGAAGTTTCTAGACACCCTTTGATTTTTGTATCACTTGACATACAGTTGGCATTGTATTTCCTAAAGATGGTAGGGTGACTGCAAATACGTTCTCAGGTTGTCAGGTGATTGGATAGATGATTTATTAGGATTCTTTGGGACAGTGATTTTCAGCATCGGGAGAGTATATCTGTGTGCACGTGTGCATGTGTGTTCAAGTATGGGTGCAGTTACTCTCCCCAGGTGTGGAACTCTAAGGGAATTCTTACAAGGACTATTCGAGGTTCCCTCTGTGAAAATAGTGATTCTCCCTGGAAAGGAAAAGGAGAGTTCCTCTGGACAGATGTGGTTTCCAAACGCCTTTCTGGTAATTCAGATGTGGTCATTCTCCACTTTGGATTTGCATCATCCCATTTTTGATGGAGAATTGCAGATTTAAGGCATATCTCAATCTTTCTGAGTTATTCTTTCAATAAAAATGTATCCAGGTCCTTTTACTAGTTAAAATAGCAGCCTGAATGGACCTACGATGGCAATTCTGAGTAAGCTCAGGGGCTTGTCCTGCTCAGAGCTATGAAAGTCTGTTCATTCTCCTTACTTGGGAGAGGCAGGAACCGAAGCTTCTGTTGAAATGATTTTTCACTTGGCCAAAATTAAAAAGCTTAAGAACTCAAGGTTCTCATTAGTCTGTGAGAACTTAGTAATTCCTTTTTTAAAGTTTTTTTTTTTTTTTTAATCCATGAGTGAGTGAAACAGAAGAGAGAGAGAGGGACAGACACCAATCCTAACAGGATCCTGATGTCACAATCCACCCTCAGCCTCAGCCAACCCTAGATTATGGTATGTGTGTGGCTCGTGTGCTCACGGAAGTCAGTGGATGCAAATCTGGAAACTTCCATATGAGGCAGCCTCAGAAAGTGTCACATTTTTCTGCAGTACTGCCATCAGATCTTATTTATCAGAACTGTGATGAATGGTAGTAAAATAAAATCTTATTGTCCTGCTCTCTGTAACCTGTCCTATTAATAAACTCTAAATAGTATATACTGATGGGATCCACCTATGAGTTCAAATGTACACCAATAATGGAGGGAATATGAGAGGGAGAAAGACTCTGACAGACGAAGGGGAAGATGAAAGAAAAAAGATAAAAACATTTTCCCAAAGAAATGATCCTCACTACATTTGTAAAGTGTCATGTCCAAAGCAGCCTTTATTGGAATGTGCTCAGATAAAACTCTTGTGCTCTGAGAATGCTTTTGAATGCACAGTAGTCAATAAAGCTCTCAACTCATTTGGAAATTTAAATATATCTTTCTTTGATTAAGTTGTCTCTGTATTTGTTGTGATTAAAATCATGACTAGTGTGATGAGATAGAAGAAAGGGAAATAGAAAGGGGTATCCATCCTCTTCAAGTTAATATCTCCAATATGAGCAAGGACACCTGCCATCTTGGACTGGGGTAAATTCCTCATTTTACAAGTGAAAAATGAGACATGGGAAAGTTAATGACTTACTATGGGCCCATAACCTATGCCCTAAAGAATTCTTTGGGGCTACCAAAAAAAGTGCTTATATTAGACTTGCTGACCTCAGAGGGCTTGGAGCCCTCAGGTATTTCTAGTTTTCTCTCACCACCTCACACT